ATATATATATATATATTATTATATGTATATATAAAGTCGTTTGTATAAAAATTACTCACATATGAGAGCTCAACAATTGAAAAACATCGTGTTTTATAACAGTATAAAGACAGGCGCACTGATCATTCTCAATTCTTGAAATGAAGAAAAAGTATTAATATCGTTGCCAATACATTTGTATTGATTATCTACAATAATTAATCGAATTAATTTAGAAGAAATTTCCTTTATTACACTACAAAGTATGAAACACTCACACTATCACAGATCAACATGATCCCTTTTCTAATTTTTGAATTGAACTGTAATTTTATATGTTTTATATATCATATCTTATTGTTGTTGGCCAGGGGTTTAGAGATTAGAGATGACCACTTGTTGTGTTGGGCTTTAGCCCATGTCATCTCTAGTCACGCCCCTGGTCAATATGTGTTTATCTATATGGTGGCAAATTTTTAATGAATAAATAAATAATACTAGGCTTACATTGTAAACGGTTCAAATTATGAGATCGATTTGCGACAATGGGGCAAATCAGGAATCATTACACAATATTAGGATCAATATTGGGCTAAAATTATAAATAAATAAATTAGTAAAATGCATAAAATGAGATCATAATCTGAATTGCTCGTATTTGTTTTCCCTGCCTAATACTGTAAAAATATGTCTGTGCATTTAGGGTAAAGGTAGTCCCATATACATTACTGAACGTAGGGGAATGAGCTGTGAGCCCATTGTACTAAGCCTCGTATTGTGTGGTGGGTGGCCAGTTCCTTTTCACATCGCCTTGTTTCTTCCCCAGTAGTGAACCACCGGGTACCCATTTATACTTCTGGGTAGAGGGACAAATGTAGATAAAGTACCTTGCCCAAGGACACAAGTGACTTGCACAGTGAGAGTTCCGAACCCCTGACCTCAAGGTTTGGATTCAAAGCTACATCCGATGCGCCAACCGCTTCTAAATAAAAATGTCGGTGTCCACGAAATGCGGGGGTCCGCTAGATTATAAAAAACAACTTTTCATCATTCCGCTGTATTTTCTTGTCTTGTCTGACAACCACAGTGTAATCATGCCTCAACAATAATTAAATACCATTGACAAGCATGACTTCGTTTACTGTTTTAACTGGCATTATATTTTAATTCAATATTTTATCTGGTACAATCTATTAAATTACTTGTTTATATAATATAAAGATGTTGAGTATACGAGAGCCACTTGGTAATGGCAATCCTCATGTAACGTATATGTTGTTTCCATGTATTCTCCTGTATTGCTTTTACCTGGATATTAAATAATTTTTTTTAATCACGAGGGAGCTATAAATTTGACATATCAAAAGTAATTGGGGATAACAGAATATTACATTCTGACAGTGTCATTTCTGGCCATTTGAAAGTGCAATAAACATACAAATTTCGTACCTCAACCCCAGCCATGGTGGGCTGAGGTACGAATGCAAAAATTAGAGTCGTATACGTTGACTTAATATACATAAAACAATTTTTTATTTCGAATATTTCGAGCACGCCTGTGCTCTTCCTCAGCGATAACACGTATTGTTACCGCCCTTTATAATCTGCCCTAATTATACATATTATTTACGATTTATTTAA